CCCCCCCACCCCACCCTCTCTACGTACGAACTAATGTGTAAATACTGCATTTTTATCCGGCATTTATTTATTAGTAATTAATTACGTTTGTTTTTCACTGAACTCGGGTGCTGCCCTTTTTTTCTAAGCTTAAAGCATAATAGGTTATTTATATCATAGGTCTATTGAAAAAAATTAGCACTGGGTATAGTAATGATAATGGTGCGCATCATTAGAAGAAGTGATGGAAATCTAATTTGTAGATAAGGTCAAAGGTGCAAACCAAAAACATTCAAATGTGGTATCGTTTTACCTGTTGCAGTTACAACATTGCTATGATTGAACGCCTACAGGAAGAACTGCTCTGATAATATCCAGAGGCCATGTTTAATTATACACTCATGTCTTCTTAGCCACAAATCATGGAATTGATTTATATTGTTGTAAGTTACAGATATTCCTCGAAACTGTACAGAGACAATTAATTCTTGTCTCAAAACTAAAACAATAAACAAAAATTAACGATAAGACAAATAACAAGTTATCTTTCTATCTCATCTGTGCTTAAATATTCCGTCTTTGCGTATTGCAGAGTTATCTTGTCTTGGGAGCAGGGATTGATTGTTACGTCACTTGTTTGTGAGAATAACGGCATCAATTTTTGAGAAAACGACGTAATTTTCTCACACAGACCAATGACGTAACAATCAATACCTGCTCCCAAGAGAAGATAACTCTGCAATAAGCAAAGACGGAATACCGACTGCAAGCTGAAGTATATGCATTAAGAAATGAGGGATCAGGTCAATCACAGGCTGTTGACGAAATAAGTCATGAAAGATTGAATTTTTAAAAAAAAAATACTCCATGTCAATAATTGATATTATCAACGACTTAGAGATTCAATGCCTGATATACACTTTCTTTCACGTAAATTGAAGCCTTTCTAGTAGGCCCAGTAAACTAAATGTGAACTCCTTAAACATAAACACGAGAGCCGGGTAACATGTATGTTATATTTGGTGATTCTGGGTCATTAGAGTAATTAATGTCATATACTGAAGAAATATTGGACATTTCATTTAAACAACCACACAATGTTGGTACAAACGACAACAGCTCCAACTCAAAGGAAATAGGCCGATTTAATTCTTTGGTCCAGGAAAAATATTGTCAGTGCACTGGGGTTACATTTCCCTATTGCGAAGAGAACTCTATCTAAACAGGGTATATCATCAAGAAAACAAACATGTTTATTTTTCTAGTGCAGTAGCAGTGTGGTCATTCATAACAAGTTGCACATTCATAAAGCACGTGCCAAGGTGATACGACCAAGGTCAGGTAATAGAGAATATTTATGATAGCAGTTTGTTCATCAATCTTCTACTGTTTACAGCATATAACTTTCTTATATTTATTTGTATTATTTTTGGAGAGGTATAATACATGTGAAAATTATAAAAACTATAATGCATGTCTAAGCAATCTGCTTTTTTTTTTTTTTTTTTTTTAGCCGAATCGCCCTTCGCTCATGGTCCGTCGTCAGTCCATTGTCTGTTCGTCTTTAAAAATCCATTGTCCATTTATCTATAAACATTTCCTGTTATCGTCAATCGAAAGGGTTTTCATTTTCATGTGCCATAGTTGAGCACGATTTATTTTGGGTCTGATCGCGAAAACAAGATGGCCGGTAGGCAACCATGTTGGATTTGAAGAGTTTAATTTCTCAGGAAGCACTTGACAGATCTTTCTCAAATCTCATATGTAGACCTCCTCGTAGTATATTATATATTCTAACACGTATATTCTGATCTGCGATAGTATCATGATCAATCGTGTTAAGCTCCTCCCATCGAACTTCAGCCACGCCCCGTTTTAAACAAAACAATATGGCGTCAAGCTCGCCTCTTAGCGAAATCCCGCTGATACAGGCTAGTAGGCAACAGAACAGAAACGACCGATGAAATGTATTTGTTGAATGAACTAAAAAGTAAAAAAGTACACATTCCTTGTTCTTACCTACATTTATTACTGAAACGTTCGTTCCATCCGTGTGAAGGCATCTAGTTAGATCCGAAATCAAATCAAACATTTCACATGTGTCGCATGCATTTACACGAAAATCTTCAAACATCTATACAAATAATCACCGATTTTGTCGATAAGCACCGATTGGTATGCATACTGACATGGAAATGTAAGAACTTGTTCAATATTAATCCGAATGTGTCGTATAAACTTCGGTAACAGGACGTTCACGAACAATCCAAATATTCCGCCTCGTCAACATACAGATCGAGCTCTCGCCAGTATGGGCGGGGCTAAATGACCGACTTTTGAAAGCTTCTTTCCGATTGGTCAGTCCGCTGCAGAATGACACGTCGCCAGTTCAGGTCACAAAGTACTTTTGTACAAGGAAATACAATGTATCTAAACATATTAGCGTAGTATGTTAAGGTGTGTTAGAATGGGGATATTCCGTTATTTTTCGTGTCTATACTGGCGATTAGAACATGAACTTTGGTTTAAACTCTCGCCCTATCGGTCTCGAGTTCAAACACAAATTTCATATTCTAATCGCCAGTATTCCGTCTTTGCGTATTGCAGAGTTATCTTCTCTTTTGAGCAGGGATTGATTGTTACGTCATTGGTTTTGTGTGAGAAAATTACGTCGTTTTCTCAAAAATTGATGACGTTACTCTCACAAACAAATGACGTAACAATCAAAACCTGCTCTCAAGAGAAGATAACTCTGCAATACGCAAAGACGGAATAGCCACTCAAAACAACGTACTATCCCCTGAATATACATGTAATGCTTATATTGGACGAATGTGCAGGTTTATGAAGTTCAGTTTTTGAAGAACAGATCATCCACTACTTGATTTCAGTTGCCTATTTCAACGCTTTTTAGAACATATCATTTTATAGAGCAGGTTAAGTGTCTATATTTATATAATATAATATGATACATATATTTAAAACAAGACGGGGTTGTGTAACAATTTATTTTAATAGCAATGGTATAAATAGGATTTTTTTTTATATAAAACATATTTTTATGACCAAAACGATCGACGACAATTCTATCGATCATTAAAATACATACATATAAAAATAGAGTGGGATCAACCAATGCTGTATATCATTGAAATTTTGAGGAATATTTATGTTTGTGTGAATTCGCGAGAGAAACGATCGTGTAAGTTCGATTATCTCACGAGTATTTATTCAGACACGAATGAACAAACACATATAATGGTAGTTGTTCCTTTTGCGAACTAAAATTCCTACGAACATATCGTTAGGAGAACAATCTTGATAATAATTAAATTAAATGATTTGCATTATTGTTAATAATAATAATAAATAAAATAATATACAACATTTGATATAACGCCCTATCTAGCTTACATAAGCCACTCTAAAGCGCTTTACAGTACATAGATATACAATTTTATACAGTCAATACAATTAGCATGTATATTAATCAATATAATATTGAGGAATTTGCAGGAGCTGCCTTATCAAGCGCTAACTACTAGTCCTATGCCACCTGGCTTATACCTCCCTATGTGTGTAAGGCTGTATGTGTGCTGGAAATGTATTGTGTTCTGTTTGTATGGGGACCGTGCTTCCAACGGTATCATTTATAGTGCCACCTCACTTGAATTCTACAGCACAGATACCGCAACACCCACCCCAGACCATTTTATACTCCACCTGGGTTGTTGGAGTTGTGTGGGCAGGAGAAAAACACTTTCTCTAATATTCCATGCGTACGGCGACTTTGGGGATCGAACCCCGGCCGCCTGCTACGAAGGCCGGAGTGTTAACCACTCGACCAATCCGCCCATGATTAATGTCAAAGGCTTATAATTATTTCTGTATTCAACTTGAAGAAAATATGCTGAGTGACAGAGTGAAATATCTACTGAATTATTGTTAATATGATCTGGTAAATTATCAACAACAGATACCTTACATGTATTTGTCACAAGTATTTAATATCACCCATTACATATAAAGGACCATCACTCGAATGTCATTATCAGTATCTGGGATTGAAACTGATGTCGATTCTTGTGTGAAACAATTGATATTATACTTCATATAGTCATACAGGCTTTAGAAGCCGTAACTCATGATATTTATATAGCGAGAAGCACCTTCGAATATGATATATACAACTTTCTTGCACACGTATACAAATAGTATTAAAGGACCATTGCTCGAATGTCATTATCAGTTACTTGGATTGAAACTTATCTCGATTCTTCTGTGGAACAATTGATATTATACTTCATATAGTCATACAGGCTTAAGTAGTCGTAAATCTTGTATGGAACCATGTATGTAATATCTCATGTGGGTATTCATGTTATGCTAGCCGTAAATCCTATATACATAATAATTGTAAATAAAGCTGCATCGTCTAATGTACTATGTACAACTTCCTTACACAGGTACAGTAATAGTATGTATGGAACATCCTTCGAATGTCATTATCAGTAACTAGAATTGAAACTGATGTGGATTCTTAGTATGTTTTGCGTACATCACTATTTCTATATCCCGCATATATATAGGTTCATAATAACTGTAAATGTCACTTGTTTCAAGCTGGGTCTTCAAATATCTTTTTCGAGAACTTGCATTGAAACTGACGACGATACTCAGCATGCAGTCTGTCTAGCTTGCGGATTTGTGTAGTCCTCCATCTTTGTAGGAATCCAGCGCCTCTTTTGGATATTGCACCCAGAAATATGTGTTTTTATGTCATACAATCATTTATATCGATCTTTCTGAGGTACACAATATTCAAATGTCCTCACCATTTTTTGGGATAATGTTTGGTATGGAATCCAAGAAAAAAATGTGTACCTCACAAGTTGTCGTTCTCTATCGCCTTAGAAGCAATGTACCGATTCTTCTTAAAAGTTGTGTACTTGTTTTCTTACACCATTAGGGCATACGTGTTTATCCAAATTTATTAAATTTGTAGCAAATATGGCAGAACAATTGTCGAGATCGTAATGCCCTTTGCACATATCACATGACCAATATTCTACATGTGCCACCGGTGACTTAAACAATAGTCGCTCAACAATGTTCCGCAAAATCAACACAAGCCACATGAGATGTTTCTTCACATCTTTCTCTAGCCATAATAGCCACAGAATATGTCACATAACGGTTTCCAAGTCACTCTAAACTGAGCAACATATCCATGACGACTTCTTCACGACTGGCGAACTGTTTCGGACGATCACTGTCCCACCTCCTGTGGTGTCTAGCTTACTCTCGACGAGGTGGCTTTTTATGTCGGCTGCCATGGTCAGAAATAGAGTTTCGACATTTGTCGACGTTTTTGCACTGGTTTCCAAGTACAAAACACCCAGTTTATCAGCATATTCCTGAAAAATAATCACAAAATATGATACCGGTGTGCATTTTTTAACACCTGATTATCATTAATTCGAAGACGGGTGTACTTTCATGAATGTACAAAATAATTCAATAGAATTATCGACAGTATCTAAGTATTATCACACGTTTCTTGTTACGGTACGACAGAAGTTTACATATTTCCATTCAAAATATGTACGTTTGTCGTATTACTGTTTTGAAAGTTTCAGTAAAGTGGAACCTGGATAATCTCTAACCCCTTATCATAGGCGTTAATAACTGGGATCTTTTTGTAAAGACAAATGCCATCCTGTCAAAATAAATCAAGGGCTGGATAATGAGACAACCAGATAAGTGGTGACTGGATAATAGATAGTGAGGCAACATGATTGTTGGTGACTGGATAGTGACAAATCCAGATTAGTGGTGAGTGGATAGTGACAAAACCAGGTAAGTGGTGAGTGGGTAGTGACAAAACCAGATTAGTGGTGAGGGGATAGTGACAAAACCAGATAAGTGGTGAGTGGGTAGTGACAAAACCTGATTAGTGGTGAGTGGATAGTGACAAAACCAGATTAGTGGTGAGTGGATAGTGACAAAACCAGATTAGTGATGAATGGATAGTGACATAATCGGGTTAGTGATGGATAGATAGTGACATAATCGGGTTAGTGATGGATGGATAGTGACATAATCGGATTAGTGATGGATGGATAGTGACATAATCGGATTGGTGATGGATGGATAGTGACATAATCGGATTAGTGGTAACCTGGTACAGGATTGTGACTGTAGTAACATATCGGTCGCTAGGTTACGACTCGATTTATAACTCACCTTGCCCATTTCCCACGTCACCACCCGTTTACTGGTCATGTCTGATTTGTTCCCTACGAGAATAATGCTGTTATCTCGGCCTCTTTGTTTGTCAACCTCCTGGAGCCATTTTTCAACGTTTATGAATGAATCCTAATTCAACAGATAACATTATCAGCAAACTGTGTATTTAATATTGTACTGTAAATAATATGTTCATGAAACACACCGAGAATATTTCCGTGTTATTTCGAATTCGCAGAAAAGGTGATGGTGTGTTCAAATAGCTGGGAAATATCAAGCGGTATTTATTTGTTAACAAATAAAACCCTTAACTTTATTAATTTAACAATAACAATTATTAAACAAGTTTGAGGCAAATTGATAAACTAAAGATGTACATTACCCAAATTATAATTTACAATTGAGTAAAGGTTTATAAACTGTATATTTTGCTATGTTTGCTTCCTGTGTAAAATTCAAATTTCGGAAATTTGTTCCTTGACCAAAACCAGGGAGGTTTAATGTAGAAAGATATCGAACATATGAATGTAGACACCTACCATGTCAGTGACGTCATATACAAGCATAATGCCGTGCGCCCCTCGATAGAAAGATGACGTAATGCTTTTGAACCGGTCTTGTCCCGCCGTGTCCCACTGTTAAATAGAGCGTATTTCAGTATCCCACTGTTAAATAGAGCGTAATTCAGTGTCCCACTGTTAAATAGAGCGTATTTCAGTGTCCCTCTGTTAAATAGAGCATATTTCAGTGTCCCACAGTTAAATAGAGCGTATTTCAGTGTCCTACTGTTAAATGGGCGCATTTCAGTGTCCCACTGTTAAATAGAGCGTATGTCAGTGTCCCACTGTTAAATAGAGCGTATTTCGTTGTCCCGCTGTAAAATAGAGCGTATTTCAGTGTCCCACTGTTAAATAGAGCAGAGTTCAGTGTCCCACTGTTAAATGGGCGCATTTCAGTTTCCCACTGTTAAATAGAGCGTATTTCAGTGTCCTACTGTTAAATGGGCGCATTTCAGTGTCCCACTGTTAAATAGAACGTATGTCAGTGTCCCACTGTTAAATAGAGCGAATTTCAGTGTCCCACTGTTAAATAGAGCGCATTTCAGTGTCCCACTATTAAATAGAGCGTATTTCAGTGTCCCTCTGTTAAATAGAGCATATTTCAGTGTCCCTCTGTTAAATAGAGCGTATTTCAGTGTCCCGCTGTTAAATAGAGCGTATTTCAGTGTCCCTCTGTTAAATAGAGCATATTTCAGTGTCCCACAGTTAAATAGAGCGTATTTCAGTGTCCTACTGTTAAATGGGCGCATTTCAGTGTCCCACTGTTAAATAGAGCGTAATTCAGTGTCCCACTGTTTAATAGAGCGTATTTCAGTGTCCCACTGTTAAATAGAGCATATTTCAGTGTCCCACAGTTAAATAGAGCGTATTTCAGTGTCCTACTGTTAAATGGGCGCATTTCAGTGTCCCACTGTTAAATAGAGCATATTTCAGTGTCCCACTGTTAAATAGAGCGTATTTCAGTGTCCTACTGTTAAATGGGCGCATTTCAGTGTCCCACTATTAAATAGAGCGTATTTCAGTGTCCCACTGTTAAATAGAGCGTATTTCAGTGAAGACTTCCGTGAAAGTGAAAGAACTGTCCTTTATGGAGGAACGTTTACTTCTCAGAGTTATTGAGGGATAAAATATTGTCGGAGAATTTAATGAATGGTCCCAGTACGCCCTAAAGAGGTAGTAATTATATTGCTTATTGAGAAATATTGACGGACAAGAACTGGTATTGATCTGATAGTATATACACCGTTTAACTGGCTAGCTTTAATATATATCTGGATTGTAGCATTTCCCCGTTTTACTGGCTAGCTATAATATTTATTTGGCTTGTAGCATTTTCCCGTTTTACTGACTAGCTATAATATATATCTGGTTTGTAGCATTTTCCGGTTTTACTGACTAGCTATAATATATATCTGGTTTGTAGCATTTTCCCGTTTTACTGGCTAGCTATAACATATATCTGGTTTGTAGCATTTTCCCGTTTTACTGGCTAGCTTTAATATATATCTGGTTTGTATTTTCCCGCCGTTTTACTGGCTAACTATAATATATATCTGGTTTGTAGCATTTTCCCGTTTTACTGGCTAGCTATAATATATATCTGGTTTGAATTTTCCCCCCGTTTTACTTGCTAGCTATAATATATATCTGGTTTGTAGCATTTTCCGATTTACTGACAAGCTATAATATGTAGTTGTAGCATTAATCGAAGGAAAGATTAACAATTGATGTGCGATAATGTACCATTGAGTAACATTACATATTATTCTTTGACAAGAGAAAAGGACTTTCATCCTGCAGAACAAGAATAGCCTATCACTAACAGGACATTAAAAGCTCTGCAAAAACCCTATATATGTAAATAATACTCACTATATGTAATTGAACAATGTTGTTTTCAATGTTCACAGTTCGGATTTTCTGAAAAACAAATTATCAACTTTTGTAAATAATGTTAAAGAACTATATTGTTTTCAATGTACTGTTTAGTATTCAACTATCATAAGATCATATACTGTGATCGAGATATTTACTAGAGAACTGTTAAGTCCAAAGATGTTACATTATAAGATTGACTATGATTCTCCTAAAATTGTACAAGTATTAGAAGTATACACCAAACGTGTATTGATAATGCTTTATGCACGGCTATGTTCAGTTTTCATAGTCAGTTATGAAAATGCAACGTGAAGTTGAGCAATTATGATCAATCGAAACAATTTCTATACAAAAAAATGTGCACCAAAACAATTTACGAGGAAGTTCAGATTCTTTGTAAACGGAAAAAAAGAAACAAAATAGACGAAAACAAAAATAACATTAAAACTTACGAAGTCAACACCTATTGTTGCTATGTGGGTTTCTGAAAATACGTCATCCTACAAAAATGAAGGCGGAACATTTAATTTAGTGCTATTCTGTTTCATGGAGTCCATAAAAACATCGATACATAGACAGGTATTCGTGTTGTACAATGTTGTATGATTCTATAAAAATAGATATGAGGGTATATCTTGATGATTTGTTCACGTTCAAAGTATACAAAAAACAAACACTTACAAATAACTATCAAACAATAACTAATATGCACCACCTGTATGTATGTACCGCTTAATGTTAAATATGTGACTCCCTTTTCGCAAGATAATATACAACATTTATAATATACAACATTTATATAGCGCCCTATATAATTTGTAAAATTACTCTAATGCGCTTTACAATATATGGATAATAGTGATGGTTATAATTGTGAAAACGAAAAAAAAAAAAAAAAAGCTGACAATCACTTTTATACATTTAAGCAAGCAATGTGCACATAATTGAACAAATAAAAGGGTGGTATTTACATAACGTCTTTGCAAAGATTCTAAAATGCAGACGTGAAGAGGTGAGTTTTGATGTCCCTCTTGAACTTTGCCAGGGTATTGGACTTTCTAATTGCAGATGGTAAGCTATTCCACAACGTAACCGAAACCCTTCCAAAGCATCTGTTTCCGTAGGTCACAGTACGAGATTTTGGGACACACAACAAGTATTCTGACTCCGACCGTAGTGATCGTGACGGCTGACACAGGGTAACAAGCTCCTGTATAGGTACTGAGGAGCTGTTCCATTCAGTGCCTTGTATGTGTACACCAGAACTTTGTACTGCGACCTGTATCGTACAGGTAACCAGTGCAACGAATAGAGCACAGATGTCTTTTTACTATTTTCCTATCATAACGGACAATCATGTGTGACTTCCTGCTTCCTAGAACAATAACAACACACTGTAACCTAACCCTGGTGTTACTTACCGCGAACCGGAGTAGTAGGTTAGATTTCCCTACACCCGAGTCGCCTATCAGCAGGTACTTAAACAGATAGTCACTGCAAAAGAGAAAGTCATATTTTAAAAAAAATACTGATAAAAGATCAAAACGAATGAAATTATTTTGTAGTACACAATTATTTTGTTGTGTATGTGATGAGCCGATATGAAAACATCTTGAAACTATTTTTATAACATGATGCAGAAATGACGTCACGCTGCTTTTCGATATTATCCTTAAAATGAATAAATATTGTAAGGTCAGATAAGGAGTAAAATACTGTGTTTTAACATATATATGAACGCTTTTAGTAGAGAAAATTATCCATCTCATAATAGTTAGATATTGTGCTTATTTTTTTATTTATTTTTAAAGGTAAGAAGAACAATAGGTCTGGTAACTTCCTCTTCCCGTTATACAATTTAATGACAAGAGTTAAATAAAAACATGAAAACAAACCAACAGAAATTTAGAGGAACCTCTTAATTACAATACAGAACCTTCTGTAATACATTGTACAAGTACTTAATTCAGTTTTACTCGACTATAATATACCGTAAACGTAGCTTGTGAAACAGTGATCATAAGGAAGCCCTTTCGTGCCGACTCTAAAGGGATACTTTATGTACCCCGATAAAATGCCTTACATATATTATCACATTCAAAGGTAAAGTATTGTTAAACGACATCTTCCGAAATTGTCATTACAGAATACTTACAAGTTAGCCATGGTATTTTTGTAAAGTAACCGTTTTATTTGCGTATCGGTCTCGTTCTGTCCGTTTGTGTATGTAATGTAGGTATTAAATGTTTTGTCCGTGTTTATATACAGGCCTACAAAACCCCATGACATGGAAACTTCCAATGTTGAGTTGCATCATGACTCACGGCGGTAAACCTAAAATCCCGTTGTGACTGTAAACACTCTATCGCGTACACGTGTTTATGTGTGTAGAGGGCTCATTCCCCGAACACCAACTCTGGAAATTTGAAAGGAAGGTGTTTATATAGGAAATCCTTTGAAGTTTAGTTATAGCCTGTTTCAACTAAGAATGTCAACTCATTTTGTAGATATGATACTAAATTCAATGATAAAACGGATAAAAAATTACTATTCATACATATAACTGTAATACATATTTAATACAGCACTAAGTAATAGAAAATCATCATTAAATATTAATATTTACATTATATGAAATATTAAAATAACATTACATTATATGAAAAATAAAATTCCTTAATTTAAGCCACATTGATACTAATGTCAGCAATAAAATAAAGTTTCTATTCATACATTTAACAGTAATACACATTTAATACAGCACTAAAAGATAATTATTAAATATAAATATAAACAGTAAACCACTATAAATGAAGCTGATGTTTCTAGCACAAATCACATTTTCTATATATATCACTACAGTCTCTAGCATAAAACATTCTATCTAAGATGCAGAAGCTGTGATGTTGAATCGGCGTAGATCATTAGGTCGATAGCTCCAGTCTGATAACGGTCTTTTCGGCAATTCACACAAATCTGAAAATACAAGTTTAACTTATATATCAAAATAAATATATGTGATTCACATAAATTTGAAAAAAAAGTACAAGCTTAACTAAAACAATGACAAATTCTGAATACAAAATTCCCATTCACTGAGTAAAGAAGTTGATGTTTCCAAGTACAGAGCGAAATATGATAATTCTCCAAAATGTGCTGCTGTTTTTTACATTATCCATTTAACAGCTTGTGATCGGAACTCTAATAATAAATTTGTTTGATTCTGAAAACTATTCTAAATATCATTTTGCAATTATTAGCAGTTATTGTTAATCTGACTAGTTATCAGAAGTTGATTTACCTGTGCAATTTACCTGTACACCATTTCTGCAATAGACTTTAACTCACTATCATCACAACTGACCGTGTAAACATGTGTTTTTTTTAAGCACAGTAGGTGTTCAGGGAATCCACCGCGTAGATAAGGGAATTCAGGGAATCCACCCGCTGTTTATATATATGTGAAGTGTATCTTTGCCGTGCTATAGATATTTTACCTGTAACTGTCTTGTATGTTTCCTGTCATTGTCTTTAACGTGACTTTCATTATGCAAAGTCGCTTATTGGACAGTCAAAATGTTTAAAATATATCATACACCAGAACGAATAAATAACAACTATTTTAAACTATAACCGTTTTAAGGTAGGAAAAAACGAAAAAATTAAGTCTTATCACCAGACGAAACAAATATTGCATCTTTTCACGACAATCGCATTATTTACAGTTTATGATTTTCACATAATTCACTCGGTTAAAAGGTTCAGTATTCAAAGGTTCTTTAAACAATAAAACAGCACTCGTCATTTCACTTATGAGACAATGAGTGCAATGTTGATATGATGTCTTTGTAATGTTGATATGAAGTCGTACAGTGGTTTTGACTGGGGAGTCCCCCATCTGAACCTTTGGGCGAGACTAATATTATTTTTCCGCGTTTCGGATAATAGCGGGAAATATTTGTCCTGTATACACGGAGTATATGAGGGCAGTTGCTAGTCTTGTGCAGAGGTTGTGGCCAATCAGATTGAGGAACATGCTAAGGGTAGTTTACGGGTACGTGTATGTTCATTCGTGCTTCGCACCTCGCACGGCGTAGCACAGTTTAAAATAAAATTATAGAAGAATTTTATGTTTATGTGTGAGCATCGTCATATATGTTAGAAATTCCAGCATCTATTTTATGAAAAACCTTAAGCATTGTTGGGCTGGTACACCTCCTGTCGCGCCTTATATGGTTTTTAGGTTGGGTGGCGCGCTTGGTTTTATATTTGTATGGCGATGAACCATGCGAGGGTATATGTGTGAGGATTGTTTGTGTGTACGGTAAATGAAGTCAGAGTAGTTTTTGTTAATGCTTATTTATTATATTCATATTATATTTATAAGTCAAGCAGCTATTTGCTATTTAGGTGTTGTGTTATGTTTGCCTTGGTACGTATAAGGAGTATATAGAGGACTATAATGTTCCCATACCTTGGGTAGCAGTGTACAGTAACGTACGGTGGCCATGGGTGATATTTTTGTACAATGAATAACCCCTGTAATATAACATGTATCAAAACTTTAAAAAAAAAAAAAAAAAAAAAACCACTAAAATTGGCATATACATGATGAAATGGACTATATGGGTGCTATCCATGTTTATACCTTATGTTCAGGTGATAATTGGCAATGCCATCAAAAAGTATTCAGTATATATAAGATCATTTTAAGTTAAGGAATTTCCCCTTATAAAGGAATGTTCATAAAACTTGTGGCTATGAGAATGGTATCTGCCCCATCCTTTGCATTATCTCAATAAATTACATCACATCAGATATGTATTAAAAAAAAGTGAAAACGTCATAGTATGCAGATTATAGTGAAACATGTATGTTTATAAAGCTGACAGCCCAGTCGTTATGCAGAAAAAACATGTAAAATGTATCATCCGAACTACTCAAAATCGAACACTAGTGACTGACTTTGGGCCTGAAAGCAAAAATTATATATTCAGTTTCCTTTTATTTTCGGCATTTTATAAATTACTTTTCAGGCTTTTTAACTTCCAAAAAAATCGTTCATTTGTGCTTAACAAGAGCTAAAACATTTCAACCTTCGTCATATATGTACTTTCCCTCATGACATATTTCTTTTCTTAGGATTTTATATATACAGAGTTAAATGCAAAATCAGAAAATAAAGGAATGGTTAGGGATTATATATTTATCACAGGCACAGGATTATTTCACTGTTATTTCAAACATTTTCCTTATTCTTTTTTAAAAAAAAATATCAAAATATAAGGAGTCTCTTTTCAGTGATTTGTAGATGTTACAATTTTATGATTTGACCAAAAATATTGAAGCAAATCTACTATTATCTAAGAAAACATTCTTCTTACTTTTATTTTATTTGTACCAGTATAAAACTGATGACAGTTTTGTACTTCATGTAAATAACTTCTTTTATAATTCAAAAGTGGAAGAAAAGTGTCTTTCATCCGAAGGTGGGGCTACTTAACTACACAGAAAATTAAATTTAACAACCTTTTAATGAAATCACCGCGTTAATCGCAGAAAAAGGTAGTAAAGTGAAAGTAGAGTACATGGACAAAAGATAAAGTTTTACTTTCTTTTTTTCATAGCATGTTTTCTATGACTCTACTTGATGTGGAACAACAGTGGGCCTGCATAATTCATTATTGTATAAATGAAAGGCGTATCTATAAGTCTATATAACTGACTACTTTTGCAAGTACGAAAGAATAGATCTTGACCTAATTTGCCATAAAGCTTCCATTGATTATTGAGTTATAAATCAATATTATTGAATTCTTGGACAGTAGGATAGGGCCGTATAAGAAAATGGGATTAAATCTTTAAAAGAATAATTCTCAGGCATAGATGAAGGGATACTAAGCTAACTTGGCACGTGTTATCGCTGTACCAAGGGATTTAATGATATATAAAATATCGTTTGGCTCACTATGGAGATACATGTAATGGTGGGCCATACATTGGAAATGGGGGATAACGTTTAAAAGACGGGTAATTATTTTTGATCTAATTTGACAGGGAACGTCCTCTTTTCGGAAGTGATTTCGATGTTGTATGAATAAGGGTGTGGTTCTCTTGGAGACAAAATTGAAATGGGGGTTAAATATTGATTTAGCTTGGAGCGTCTCGGTGTAAAGATACTTTTTATAAATAAATGAATTAGGTCTTATGAGGACAGAGGTTGGGCACAATCGCGAAAACTAGGAAATCTTTAAACGACTCATGAACACGCAGTTAGTTTTCAAGTTAATATAAAATCCAAGATTGGCGGAGATAGTTTTGAAAATCTTAATTCAAATGTTCCTCCGGTGCAGTGACTCAGTGTTGTTATTTTCAGACTTATTCATAGAGAGTTCCACCCGTACTCTGTATTGTACTGCCTGAGACAGTTTAACTTCTCAACCTTCACCAACTATCCTGCTGTTGTGCTCTTCTCGTCCTCTGAATAGCTTCTGTAATTTTATGGGCTCATATAAATTTTGATATGGTATTATTGACTACCGTTATTTTCTAATTTTATCTGGTTACTGTTACTTAAAAGTTGCTTATATGTTTCTGTTCTGACATTGCCAAGCAAAGTTTGAGAAAATCTTAACTTCTTTTCTTGTTAAAATAATAAAAGAAATGTCGTGCGATACATGTCCAATGGGCCTCTTCTTACTGCGTTATTTCGTGATTGTTTCAATACTATATAACGGAAAATTGTCGCTGAAGTCATATTAACGCCTAATAAGTGCAAGTAATTACTACAGCGAATATTAATAAACAATATAACATGCATAGTAATGCGTGGGGCGCAATTAACATCGGTCATATACGGATTAACCTAGCGAAGGGGGAAGTTTGACAGGGCGAAATTTCCCGGTTTATAGTAGTTTGACTTTCAGATACACATCACGCAGGAAAGTTGATTGATAAATATATTGGATTTTATTTATATCACTGATATTGGTATGGTTGTTCTTGGCCGCTACATATCGTAATTTTTGTATATAAAAAAACCCAAGATATTCAAGGAGTTCAATGAGTAATTACCATGTTTGTCCAGTTTAGGTGTTTAATATCTATTATTTAGTTGTTTGCATTTTATTCGTCAAATATGATAAGAAACAATATTTCTCATAACACTAAACATTCAGCATGCAGAAATGAAAGCCTCTGCATGAATGAACACTGGTACGACAATTTTTTTAGAATGTCATATATTTATTTGTTTGCTTAATGCGGAGGCTATCAAACATTGAAGAGTGTTTAGTTAATTTCCTTCAAAATCGCCAATTTTCAACCAAACACCGCACAACAGACAATATTCACGCATTTTTTTATTCAATGCGGTTTTATGTCTCTCTTTGTAATGCCATATCTCCTGAACCAGTTGTCCAATGAATTTGAAATTTCATATTTGCCGACTTCATTTATTCCAGATTACGAACAGAACAACTAATTATAAATCCCCGATGAGGCCGAAAATTACCCTTAACGCCCCTAGTCCTTTGCTGAGGTTACTGTCACAGTCCATGAGTATCCAATTGTTTCTACTGTGTGAGTAATATCTATACATGCATGATATCGTTTTCAAAGTTAAATGTCTATTGTTGAAGGAATATTATTTTCTTCGTCATATATCGTCATAAAAATATCTTTCTTAATTTGAAAACATTATAGGTTTGTAAAACAATTTATTCAACAATTGTATAAATACAAAATTATAAAATTATGAACATCTTTCTTAATTATCAAAACGGTGGGTGACATTTTTATGAATTACTAGAATATATATAAACATTGGGATAACTATAAGGGTGAAATGAGCCTGTGTCTATCACAAGGTATGATGAATTACATAAAGAAATAACAGTTAAATGATAGTATATAATCGCCAATGAAAACTTCACCGTCAGATGATGTAAGAATCACAATGGTTCAACTTTCATATACACTCAAATATTTATATTTAAAGGAACATCCTTCGACTGTCATTGTCATTGTCTAAGATTGGGACTGATGACGATTTTCAGTATGACGTAACGTACATAATACCAAAACACATCATTCGTACCTCAATGTCTCTTTCTTACAAAAACAGCGGCCACTTTCTCTCCCAATTCTCTTTTTATCATGTCCTTTCATATAGAAACATATAATTCATAACGGGCATTGAATACTTTCATCATAAATTTAAACAATTATTTAAGACTTTGGTTGGAGACATAGTATGCTCCAAAGCTGAAGACCTTGCGGTCGACCAGGCTTGCGTGCCTCTTTAACCCTTTGTTAAGCTAGCCATAGACCCATATTCTTGATATTTTATACAGAGCAGCAGGTTTGAATGTCATTATCAGTAACTTGGATTGAAACTGATGACGGTTCTTTATATGCAGCTGTCTATGTGTTTACGATACCACGGTGTAAATGTTCTTATATGTAATTCTTCATTTCTGTTCAATTAATTATTTTCTGCTGAATTTGCAATATGGACATTACTTGTTCACAGTCATTATATCGCATATGTATTCATTCACTTAGGCTAGGTTTTTCCAAGATACACATCGTATCTGCTGGAATGTCATCGTCAATCTTGAGGGTAAAGACTGATATCGAATCTAGCGAATACTATCTACCTCGCAGACTTGCCGATTTCTATTTTCAATAATAGTGTACTGATTCTTAAAAGTTTAAACTTTCCTTATCAGTGCACATAAACCTCAAGCTAACCTAGCATACAACTCTCCAG